GACTATATGCAGTCCTGTGAAACTAACCAAACCCCATGCTTCAGTAGCTTGACAAACCACCTTTAGCAGCAATAACTTGAAGAAATTGCTTCTGTGTGACCTTATCAGTCTCTCACTTTGTTGCAGAGAAATTTTCTTCCCTCCCTTATTTACAGCATTGATTCAGTTTATTAAGATCTGCAGGCATTCTTTTATGCATAACTCTTTATTTAAGGTCATTCCACAGCATTTCAATTGGGTTGACTTCTAGAGTTTGACTGGAGCACTGTAACGTGCGAGTTTAATTTGTATTTTTTTTTGTTTTTTTTAGATATATGCCCAGATCAAATGGTTAAAAAACAGGCCTTTTTCATCAGACCTCGACTACCTTGAATGACTAGTAATATTGTTTTTCACCAAAAGCGGCACTGTGCATTAGGGCCAGACAACCGTGGCCTGAGGTGTTCAAAAAAACTTGTTCAGTTTTTCTCTAATTGAACTGTCATAAACTTTAGTCTGTCTCAATGTGACAGACTGGTGGCCTGTGTGCCTCCCCTCTCACTCTATGGCAGCTGGGATAGGCTCCAATTCAATTTTAATTATACAGCACCAAATCACAACAGTAGTCGCCTCAAGGCACTTTATAGTGTAAGGTAGACCCTACAATAATACATACAGAGAAAAAATCCAACAGCCCCCTATGAGCAAGCACTTTGGCGACAGTGGGAAGGAAAAATTCCCTTTAAACAGGAAGAAACCTCGAGCAGAACCAGGCTCAGGGAGGGGTGGCTGTGACCGGTTGGGCAGAAAAAAAGAAGACAGGATATGTGAGGTGAGGTCAAAGTCAAAGTCAGCTTTATTGTCAATTCTGCCACATGTACAGGACATACAGAGAATAGAAACTACGTTACTCTCAATCCCTAGATAAAATAGCAAATGAACATTTAAATATAAGAGTGATAAAAATGCAAGTAAAATAATTAAAAAGTAAAATTTAAATAAATAAATACAATACAATTTTTACATATAACAAGAAAGCTATACAATATACAATATAATGAGTAAATGACATTGAGTGCAAACCAGGCAGAGTAGTGCAAATGGGCAAATAGTGCAAATGGAGATTTGGTAATGTACGGTAAGAGAAAGTGTAACAACAAAGTCTTATGAGGTAGTGGCAGTCCAATGCTCCACAAAGTGACTGGTAACTGGTGCAGGCCAGTGAGTGAGTTAGAGTGTGTGTGTGTGTGTGTGTGTGTGTGTGTGTGTGTGTGTGTGTGTGACAGAGTTCAGTAGGACCGTGGAGGAGAGAGGGGAGAGGGGGCAGAATCGGGAGGGAGTTAAGCTTCCTGACAGCCTGATGGATGAAGCTGTCCTTCAGTCTGCTGGTCCTGGCCTGGAGACTCCGCAGTCTCCTCCCCGACGGCAGCAGCTTGAAGAAGCTTTGCATTGGGTGCGTGGGATCAGCCGCTATGCAAAGGGCTTTTTTAGTGAGACGGGTGCTGTAAATGTCCTGGAGGGAGGGGAGAGAGACACCAATGATCCTCTCTGCAGCTCTCACTATGCGTTGGAGGGTTCTATGACAGGACGCATTGCAGGCTCCAAACCACACAGTGATGCAGCTCGACAGGATGCTCTCGATGGTGCCTCTGTAGAAAGTGTACATGATGGGGGCTGGTGCTCCTGCTCTTCTTAGTTTGCGGAGAAAGAAGAGACGCTGCTGTGATTTCTTGGCCAGTGCTGTGGTGTTGTACGTCCAGGAGAGATCCTCTGTGATGTGCACACCCAAGAACTTGGTGCTGCTCACTCTCTCCACAGACGCTCCGTCAATGGTCAGAGGAGCATGTTGGGTGTGCATTCTCCTGAAGTCCACAACAATCTCCTTCGTCTTCTCCACATTCAGAGAGAGATTGTTGTCAGCACACCACGTGGCCAGGCGTCTCACCTCACTTCTGTAGTCGGTCTCATCCCTGTTGCTAATGAGACCCACCACCGTTGTGTCGTCCGCAAACTTGATGAAGAGGTTGGAGCTGTATGATGGAGTGCAGTCATGGGTCAGCAGAGTGAAGAGGAGGGGGCTCAGCACACATCCCTGCGGGGCCCCCGTGTTTAAAATGATGGTGCTGGATGTATTACTGCCGACCCGTACTGCTTGAGGTCTTCCGGTGAGGAAATCCAACAGCCAGTTGCACAGTGAGGTGTTGAGCCCCAGCTGGACCAGTTTTTGAGTGAGCTGTTGGGGGATTATGGTGTTGAATGCTGAACTGAAATCTATGAACAGCATTCGAACATATGAGTCATTTTTGTCCAGGTGTGTGAGTGCCGAGGTGACGTGATGGTGGTGCTTAAACACAAGGCTGCAGCAATATTTCACGTCGAGAGATAACAATCCTCAGCACAAAGTGTCCTTTCTCCTTCATGTGCATTCAAAGGACAAAAAATACACACTTTCAAGGTTTGAAAAGTTCCAAAGTTTGGACCAAGGAGACAAATGATTTGAGTGAGAAATAGAGGAGGCCAACTTTGTCCACTGGGAACAACTATTATTGAACATAAGAGGTGGCCTCCAACACCAACTATCAGCTACTTGAAAGGCAGTCTTGAGATCACTTCCCAGGCATTTCAACCCCTACTCACACCTCGAACATGTGACCCTTAATATCTCACACAATGGCACAGTGAGGCAATGGCTTACAAAGGATTCACACCTTGATTCCTGTGACTGCAATAACCAATGGCTTAATTCACACCTTGGCTCATGTGACCCCTCACGATTCACATGATGACTGGGGAGTAAATAACTCTCAGGATCACCTCCAAAGAGGACAAAATTATAATGGATGAATTACTTGGAACTCCCCATCAGTTTTTGGAGCTGAGGAAGCCTCTCAGATTAGAAGTGAAATGTCTTCAAACATCTTGAAACATATTCAAGCATTTAGGACTAAAATGATCTGGATGACTAAGAACTTGCACAGACATACAATACAACCAGGAGACTGTGACTCATGTTACATTTGGAAAGTTGAACCAGCCTTAAAATTTCTTTCACTCACTGTCTGGTTATGTTTAAGTATTCAAAGTTTTTTGGTTTAGTTAAGGCACTAAGAAATACAAGGTTACTGGTTACTTTAAACCTAAATGGTGAAAAATGATCCTATCAAGTGTGTGAAACTTTGACACTACAGGGGTCTTTTTCAAGCATGAGTCACACAGTACACCTTGTAGTTATCTATGAAACACAGAAAAATAGATTTTTGACAGAAGCCATATTTGACACCCTGTGGATGAAAACAGGCTGAATAAGCTTAGATTATTAGATTCCTGAAAGTAGCCACCATTTGCTTTTTTGACAGCGCTGCAAGCCCTTGGCCTTCTCTCGATGAGCTTCATGATGTAGTCACCTGTCAGGGTGCCTTGTCAGGGTTCATTTGTGGAATTTCTTGCCTTATTAATGGGGTTCGGACCATCAGTTGTGTTGTGCAGAAGTCAGGTTAGTACAGTAAAGAGTAAAGAGGAACGGCAGTCTATCATTACTTCAAGAACTTTGAATGTGTCCCCAAGTGCATTCACAAAAACCATCAAACACTACAACAAAACTGGCTCACATGAGGAAAGGAAGACCAAGAGTCACCTCTGCTACTGGCGATAAATTCATCCAAGTCATCAGCCTCGGAAATCGCAAGTTAGCAGCACCTCAGATAAATGCCACACAGCGTTCCGGTAGCAGACACATCTCCACATCAACTGTTCAGAGGACACTAATAATGCATGAATCAGGCCTTTATGGTCAAATAGCTGCAAAGAAACCACTACTAAGGAAAAGCAACAAGCAGAAGAGCTTTGTTGTTCTAAGAAACACAAGGAATGGACATTAGACCAGGGGGAAATCTGTGCTTTGGTCTGATGAGTCGAAATCTGAGATCTTTGGTTCCACCCACCGTGTCTTTGTGCGGTGCAGAAAAGGTGAATATTTATTTGTCAAACGGGACAATGACCCCAAACACACCTCTAGGCTGTGTAAGAGCTATTTGACCAAGAAGGAGAGTGATGGAGTGCTGCGCCAAATGGCCTGGCCTCCACAGTCCTAAACCCAATCGAAATGGTTTGGGATTCTTCTTTAAAGAATCTAGCATATAAAACATGTTTTGAGCTATTTAACACTTTTACATAATTCCATACGTGTTCATTCATAGTTTGGATTATGTAAACAATATACAAAGTTCATTTAGCAAATAAAAGAAGAAGAAAAAAGATACAAATTGAAGCTAATATATTTCAATATTACTTCACCTGTAGTGATTCAGTTACATAACGAAAAGGAGTGGGAAGAAGTACACACTTATTTAATCCCACTCTTTGCCATAAGTTATCAGTCTATATTTAATCAGCTTCCTTACTGATATAATCTGCAGTAATAATGACGAACAGATTTCTAATATAATATAGACACCACATCATATCCTTATGTTTTTGTGATCCTATAACTTTACCTCCACACCAATACCTCCAGTTTCAATGAGCATAAATAAAATTTCCTAAACAGAGACATTGACTGAATTTCAATAATTTCCTTTTCTTTATCACTCATGAAGATCATTTCGTTATAACTCTTTTTGAACTGCTTTTTGTTTGGACATTGCTTCAACTCCATACTCGAACTGCTCCATAGTTTTGATGCCTTCAGTGATAATCTACAATTTAAAGAGTTATGAAAATTAAAAAAAACAAAACATTAAATCAGAAGGTGTTTCCAAATGCTCGACTGGTATTGTATATTGTAGGGTAGTGTTTTGTACATTTGCATAGAGGATGTGGAGCTACCTCTTGGCTCTTGGTGAATAATGGAGCAGCAAACAATCTAAACTTGATTTTCATTGTCATGGTGGCCTTCATTGTAAAATTCTAATTTTTTAGGGCCATTGAGAGAATATGTTTCTGCCCACTGATCTTAAGAGGCAGTGACAAACACCATTGACTTGGTGTAGTTCAATGAGGCAGAGGGCAAAGAAGAGACTTACTTGTAGAGGCTGTCGGGTTCCAGGCACTTGAAGACCACTGAATATAGCACAGAGTGGGGATGGTCTCCACTCCTCCTCCCAGCAACAACACAGGATGAACCCAAACCAGAAAACAGATCATCCATCAAGCTCAGGACCTCACCTTATAAAGAGATAACATTGGAAGGAAAGGGAAAACAATGAAAGCACGAATTGAAGTCTGAACCAAAGAAAGGTTCTTACAAAAAGGTCACTTTGGAAATGTTATTTGGCCTGTTTTACTATTAAATATTTTGAGGGGGGAAAAAATGAACAATTGCAAACGTATCTTTCAACATTGCATTTTATCTATTGTTCCATCTATTGCGAAACAATCCCACATGTTTTGGTTCCACCACATGTTTTAACATAAGAAAAACAACAGTGCAAAACACGAGCTTAGTCATGAATGGATTTCTACATTTAGGCATGGAGCTCTTGTAACTGTGCAATTTGAATGATGTTGTTTCACCTCTGCCTGCTCAAGCCGAGGCCATAACAAATGGGACTTTTTACTGTCAGGAACCCATTCACATTACATTACAGAACTGTAAAGAGAACAGGATTTCATACACATTTTGACTTATTGTACATGCTGCTATTACACTGACACCTCCTTGAACACAGTGGTGTCTCAAAAACAGCTTACTTCACAAGCTGTGCAAGAAAAGCAATGCACAATTGTTCATTTAGACACAGGCATACACAACATCAGTTTCCAGTACTCATGGGGGTGATGGAAAAAAGGCGAGACCTGTCAAACTACTGTGGTTTAAAAGCTCTCAAATAGTTGGATTTTAAACTATTTCTACATGAGGTAAAGGGCAGCTTAATTTTAGCTTATGATACGTGTGCCAAATTATAAACACAGAGAGTCTGGCTGGTGGGGCACAAGGGGATGGTAAGAAAAGGTTGCAAGGAAGAGGAAAAAGAACTGCACGAATGAATGATTTGACCTTTTCACAGAAAGAGCTCTGTGTATAGGAGGTTGCCCCCAAACACATTCCAGCACTATTACAGGATTACTCCTCCAAAGGTCTTACCTTTCTAAACATCACTCTCAAACTGTGTTAATTTATATTGTTGTTAAAGTCCACGTGAGGCTGAAAGTAAGTTGTGAATACTGGTATCAGTTTTGTTCAAAACAACATCTCAGGGATGTTGGTGGTATGTCCTGTAGCGCACAGTTCAAATAGAAATTAAACTTTATCTTTCACCTTAAGCAACTTTCAACAATAAAAAAACTCAAATAATACCAAATACCAAATCTGTTCCATCACAGAGTCTAAAAAAATTAAAAATAATACAAAAAACACAGCATGCACAAATGTTCAGTAAAAGAAAAAAAGAAAAAAAAGATCAGGAGAGAACTAGTAAAGAGCGAGGCTGTACAAGAAAAAAGGCAGTGAGTTTTATGATTATGTTTTATGATTTTGGATGTGGTCGTGGAGAAGAATGATGTCGTCAGTGGATGTTTTGATGATCAGGGTAAATCAAAAAGTTGAAACGCCACTAAAGTATACTTCAGAAGTTTTTGGAGAAGTTGGGGAGATTTGTCATTTTTATTTTTATTATTATTATTCTGACTTGCAAAAATCAAGTGACAGGGCGACTGACAAACTGAGAGCTTAGTCTCTGACAAGTAAGTTATTGTTTGTTGCTAAGACAAAATTCTTGTTTTTTTTATTTGCTTGGTTTAAACGGCACTTTCAAAAACTTGACAGACAACAAAAGTATCTCTCTGAAGATTTGAAATAGCATATTCACACAAACCTTCTAGGACATGATTTTTGCATAAATTAAATAGTGACAAGTAAAAATAGATGAAAGGATTAAATGAAAGAGCTGTAGTAGATTACCCAGTAACTGCCATCAATTCATAACTCACTTATCTTGTATTAGAGATGCACAAGTGAGTTTTCTTAACACTTTAAGTTCTCCATGTGCCTGCATGGGTTTCCTCCAGCTACACTGGCTTCCTTGGACAGTCTAAGGATGTGCTCGGTTTACGTTAATTAATGATTTAGTAAGGTATTACTGGACATACGGTACAGAACGTATATTTAAGTAGCAGCATTTGGTATTAATTAGCTGATCAAAACGACAAATTATTATACAATTATCAATTCAAAGAGTCACCAAAGACCATAGTGGGTATTACATAACTAATAAATATTTTAATTACTCTTACAACAAATTGTTAAACCAATGAACCTACCCTCTTTCCCTACTAATTTACAATACAATTTATGCAGCACAGCACAACACAACCTAGTCCTTTAGACTGATCCTTCATAGGAACACTGACAGTTCTGGCACCTTGAGAGTGGTGAGGAGTACTCTGAAATTTTGCTCACACCATGCAACTATAAAAAAGCAGAGCTAACAAAAATTGAAAGCATTCAGATTTTGTTCAGAATAATAAAGACAGATTACCGTGCCTGATCTCTACCTTGAAAGCAACTCTAAATTCCTTCTAACACGCTTTGAGCATCAGTAAGAGCACGTGCTATATAAATACCAGTCCACTTACAAAAGAGTTGAAAAGAACTTAAAATACACATTTGTGTTTTAGAACTTGGCCTCACAATATCAACATAAGTTAGCATACTAGTTTTGAAACACAATTTTCTAGAGATCATTACCAAAATCTACAAGAAGAATAATTTGCTGCCATAACACATAGTGCAGGATTGGGGTCAAGCATGTGTACTTTGGTAACCCCTTGCATACCACCTTCTGTTTTAGAGAGTATGGAGAAGATGTGCATGTCTATTTTCATCTGGTATCACAGGAGAGGAAACGTGAGGAGGGTTTGTGTGTGTATGCATCCCTAGGAGTGGAGAATGGGCTGATTAACTGAATATGTTCACACGTGCAAAATGATGTATGACTCAACTGCTAAAGTGGAAGTTTTTTTTACAAGCTATTGGCACACATATTGGCGCACATGTTTGGCTGTGTCTATGCGTGTTTTTGATTTCTACTCAAGACTTTCAAATGCGATAGCTTAAAAGGGGATATCTTATAAGTGATTTCATATCAGAATTAGGTAAAGATAATCAAAATCCAATCCATTAACAATAGAATAAGAAATGTGAGCACACCCAGAAGCAGCATTTATTGTTATGAGGGTTCCTCATGGGTAGGCCTGTGGTCCGTCAACATTTCTGTCAATACCGAAGCCAAACAGCTCACAGCTGGCAAAAATTAAGGCCCCTGAAATTCTATTACGGTAAAAGCCATTTTGCGTGTTCTCCAGCTTACATGGCGATTAAAACCTCATGGTAAATGCCAGGTGACCTTTTTAGTAAGCAGAGAGAAGAACAAATAACAGCAAATCATGGGAAAGTGACGTCTTGGGCTGACTGACAGTGTACAAAAGAACCACTCTGATTCAAACACATCCTGGCCTTGTAACTATGATGTAGTTGCAAACAAGTCATGATAAGTTTATTTGTACAGACCGATATCATATACAATGTCTCAAAGAGCTTTGCTGCGCCACAACAGAAACAGTTCCTGACCCAGGCTGGCGCAAAGTCTCTGAAAAAAACAAAACAAAACAAGGAATACCCCTCTCAGAAAACTTTGGCACGTAACAACACAAAAAGGAGGAGGTAGGGAGGGCAAAAGAGGAAAAGAGAATCAAAGAGGTCCTTCCTTCATGGAAAGCATAAGTAACAGCAAGTGGAAGACACAATAACAAAAATAATTGCAGCACACAAAAACATAACTGTGGTATTATAAAGGAGTAAATGTGTATGCAGAGAAAATCTACACATGTACTATGGACTTTATATTCACGTTTATGTGCATCTTCTGAACTTGGATGTGGAAATGTGTGCACATGTGGAACGGGACATGTGGGGGTTTTCTGTCTTTAAACCAAACTTGCCATTCTGTTATGGCAGACATAGCCTTTCACATACAGTTTCTAATTCATGCACAGTCTAACTGCTTTAGCCATTAGCTGTATTTGTCTTTCTGTATATGTTTTTATTTGAATGAGAATGTATATGCAAATCGTCAAGGTGAGCTGGTTTATGGATTAGATATGTTTAGATATTTTTTCTTCAAGGAGGAAATTTGAAAGTATCAGAAGAAGAAAAAATGTAATTGGAATTGATAAATGAACTTATTCACTTACATACAAGTGAGTAATAACACTAAAGCACTTTTTTATTAAACAAGTATAAGTAGTTGCTTCAAAGTGCTGAATTTGAATAGTATAGCTTTTCATTGCAAGGATATATTGGTGTAAGTAGGGTAGGGATTAATAAGGGTAGAAAATCAAAAATAATCTATGGGAGAGATAACAAAAATTTTAGGAATGTCCAGGAAGAAAAAAAAATCTGAACCGGCTAACTCAGCAACACTAAAAAGTTTGAAAGACCACAGAAGACAACTAAAGTGCATGATGAGAGAATTATTTCCATGGTTAAGAAAAACAATTACACAACTAAGCCTTTATGAATGGAAATACAAATGGTTTACAACAAGGTGCAAACCACTGGTTACATGGATTCGACTTTGCCAAAAAACATCTAAAATGGTCTGCACAGTTCTGCAAAACGTTCTGGCCAGATGAAACCAAGATTAACTTGCACCAGATGGGAAGACAAAAGTATGAAGGAGAGAAACACTCATGATCTGAATCATACCGCATTATCTGTCAAACATGGTGCAGGGAATGTAATGGCGTGGCCATGAATGGCTCTCAGTGGAACTGGGTCACTCGTGTTTATTGATGATGTGGCTGCTGAGAGAACTATCAGGATAAATGCTAAATTGTACATAGCAAAACTGATCAGACAGCATTTCACAGTGTGAATGGATGATGACCCAAAGCATACTGCAAAAGTAACAGTATGGTTTGTGAGATAAAAAACTGAAAGGGACGCACAAACAAGCAGCAACTGAAGTTTGCTGCAAGGCGATACTAAGTATAAAAATGTCAGTAATTCTTCAAAAGTTAATATAATCGTTCTTGTTAAACCCACTGAATTAAAGCTAAAGTTCTGCACCACTGTTACACATTGACTCTATGTCCAAAGGCAAAACTAGTAAAACTAGAAAAAACTGTCTTTGTCCTACAATCTGTTCTGCATATACCATAAAATT